CATGACATTAAGTGTCTTATCATCACTGAATAAATTAGTCTCAATTACCTTGAAAAAATCTTGAAAATATTAACAGAATTACGTGTTATTTAGGTTTAAAATAGATTTGAAAATTAGGTTTGTAAAATAGTGGCGTCGCCTAGTAATAGAACGTTAGGTGAAGCAAAGTTTCTTCAAGTCATTATAGTTAATTGTCTTTCTCCCCACTATTCTCCAATTGATTAGTTACATTAGATATTTTTATTACGTGATCCATTCAAAATTTTAAACAATGAAAGATTTTATAATAAGATGCCTTGTGTCACCACTAATATATTCTTCATGATTTAAACCATATAAGATATATACAACTAACTTCTTTAGAATAATTATTAAATGAAATGGACCCTTGTCTTAACTTAATATTATTATTCTTGCTAAAAAAGTCTTAACTTAATATTATTAGGAATAACACTTGCTAATGGGTTCAATCAAACATTTGATGATTCATATCATTTCGTCTGCGTCACAAATTATGATGCAGTTTAATAATTAATTAACCGGAAGATAATATAATTCACTACGTAATACAATAGTGGCCAAGGTTCTTAGCCGTCAGAAACCTGGTTCAGGTTTGGTTCTATCGTACGTATCACACCTAAATTGAATCCGGACCAAAACGTTAAAATTTAACCGAACCAATTTTGGTAACTTGTTTTATGTACTTTCTGATCTTTTTATACACTTGCAATATTAACCAAAAAACTATACAGTCGTAAAATAATAGTTGAATTGAACACTAGCAATTTGACAAAAAAATATAATCTTTATTCAAACTTATAATCTCCAATCTAATCCGGTCAAAATCCGATGCAACCATGTCAAAGATAAAAATAAATGACGATATTTCTGTGGATTGAAGTCTGATGGTCAAAGATAAAATTTTAAAATCTGGATTAAGGTCAACTAAAGATTCCTTACACTGCTTCATAATCTTATACTATATTATTATATATACACCCAAAAAAAGTATACCATAGAGAGAAGGAAAAAAAACTTACATACATAAAGAATCTGAAGTACCTTTCACAAGAAATCACGTATTCAATAATAACACAAGTTGATGCTAAAACTCGATTTGTAATATTTTTAATTTTCCATCGTCTTAAGAAGAATCTCTGAGACTGACGAACTTCACAGTACCATCACCACCACAAGAGATAAATCCATTTGGACAAACTTGTATATCTGTAACCCCAGCCTGCACCAAATTTTATTAACAACCAAACCGAAACTGATTACATACCGAATGATTTATGGTAGATTCGGATTTACTTGAACCGAAAACCCCTACGAGAAAATACGATTAAAAGGTTTTTTTACTTACCCGGATGATTCCACCGTAGCCAAATGAGGTTGGTTGCAGGAAAGTGTGTCTTTCGTGTAGCTTAGGCCAATGATGAATCAACTTTGCTGCTTTTGCATCCCAAAGTTTAACATCTCCGTCTTTGCTTCCCGTCAAGAACAGACTCGTGTGCGGGATTGTCGATATTTTGGTCACACTCCCTGGAAATTTGCACCGATCGTGAAATCATAGTTAGAGAAAGTATTTTCCGGTTTTAGACAGAACATAGAAGGTCTGAATTAGGGTTACAGGGGTTTGCACCTAAGTGAGCCTTTGGTATATACCAAAGCATCCCATTCTTGTACTGATCTTGCTTCCTCATCTTACCGGTTGCAATATACCGGAAATCGTGCAATCCAACGTCACCGGTTGTGCCACCGGTTACAATCATAGGAGAAATCGAGCCACTACCAATGTCATTATCAAATACCGAGATAGAGCGTGCACCACCTTCGTGGAAGAAAAAAAAAACAAAGTTGTTAAGAGAGATGATTGTTTGAAAATGCTAGTAATTGTGATTAGGAATATTAATTCTACAGTTTTCAAATTATGTTATTGGAAGAGACCTTCATGACAACTGATAGACGCCTGGGAAGCTGAAGGGGGAGCTAGAGTATCCCATAGAACTACGTTGACACCACTTGAGCTATGTCCTGAAGCCGCAACGATAGATCCACTCGAACTAATATATTCTACATCCCTGCAACCATAACAACAGATAAAAAGTTATAATTTTCGTAATTGGGTGCAATAATTCCAAATTTGGGTGTTTCTTTAGGATCATGACACGTACGATGCATGGCCATTGAAACAAAGAAACGATTCAAGGGGATGGATATTGCTTCTTCCTCCAACTTCTGATTGCCAAGTGCATACAGTTCCATCTAGTGCAGCGCTAGCAAATCTTTGTCCGCATGGACCGAATTGCACTGCAGATATTGACGCCAAAGCATGTGGAGGAGGAACAGTTGCAGCAGGCAGAACACCGTAAGTTGCAATAGCTCTGTTTTTTCCAAACTACAAGATGTAATGTTTGCATAATAAGATTCACAAGGGTATATACATAAGAAATGTCATCCTGATAGAAAGGTTCATGTAATACCGTTAACATTCAATAGACGCTCGTTAAAGTAAATCGAATACAAAAGTAATTCAACAGATGATGCAAATGTTTAGGCTCATACCTCCCACAAGTAAATGTGTGTGTGGCTTGAGCCAACCAAGAAGAGAGGCATTGTTGGGTGACTAGAGAATGCTCTCGTAATAACAGTTTCAACTGTTGGGGGAGGATCAACAAACTCTTCTTGAGTTTCACAACCTGGACCAGAGACACCTAACCCAGTGTAACCAATATCAACAGTTGCCCCACCTAACCCAAGGTGTGCTCCTTCGTTGTCCCCAAGACCAACACCGAGTGAGTCACATGTTGGCACAGGAGTTGACTCAGAGTTGCCCCAACCATTATGTGGCCAATCAGCATCTGACCAGATATAGTTCGACTGATCATCGCAGTAACCACCATCTTCTAGGCTAAAGAAGATTAAACCCTGTAATAGAATCCACATTCAGGATATGTTTATGTCTCATGCCACATTGCCACTATGCATAAGAAAACACTACAACAATAAATAGACATAAACTTGGCCTTGCTACGGCTACAAGCAATATCATCAGAACTTTTTTTCTCTAACTACTGAAGCAAGATAAAGACATAAGATGATCGGAGGTCTTCCAGGATTCAGACTCATCTTATGTATAGTCAATGTTTTTGTGCATGGCAAGTTACTACAACTTATCAAATTCACAAGAGAGTAAAGATAGAATAAGTGCCAAGGCAGACTGCAGTAACAACTGACCTTGCGGTTGCTAGCTAATGCAGCTTGCCGATGGTTGATTGTGTTAATACAAAGGGCCTGTTAGAAAGATAAGAATACTCGATCAAAAAAGATAACAAGGTTTCAACAGAGAATCAGTAACTTATTCGCCAATGTAAGAAAAACAATTACCTCTATAAGCTCCCCAGTCCTCTTCTGGATTTCTTTGGGTTTCTGGAAAGCAGAGTTTTCATTGGCAGTTATTAAAGCTTTCTGTGACGAATTTGAAGTGTGGCTACTCCGACCATTTTGATTGCATGGCACATTGAGCTCATTCTTCTCGGTTACTTCTCTGTACATATCGCTCCAATCTTCCAATGGTTTAAATTTTGACCACTCAGATATGTCGAAATTTTCTAGCAAGAAAGCTTCAGATACTAAATGAGGATCAACACAAAGCTTCCAAAACCTCACAGAAACTGTAAGGTCACCATTGTCTTCATTCTCTATACCTGCTTCAGATTCCTGACATTCGTGCAACCCTAACAAGGTAGGAACCTGAATTGGCTTCTCTAGTTTTTGTTTGAAGGGCGATACAAGTTGTTTTACAAGGTAGGAAGAGAATTGAGCAAAGGTGCTAATCAGGTCATCGTTGTCTTCATTCTCTATACTTGCATCAGAGATGGCTCGATCCGTAGAATTTGCTTGAGATTCCCGACATTCGTGCAACCATAACAAGGTAGGAACCTGAATTCCCTTCTCTATTTTCTGTTTCAAATGCAATACAAGTTGTTTTACATGGTAGGAAGAGAGTTGAGCAAGGGTGCTAATCAGTGTCTTTCCCAGAACGGACATGATCTTCTCAGTTACACATACAATGTCACCACTGGAATCCAGTGATGTCTGAGCATCAAATGTTTCAACCGAACCACTATTCGAGATACCATCATCTAGATCGATCGAAATAGATACCAGCTTATGTTTCACAAAGTCTGAAACATGCTTCCAGAAACATGCATGTGTTACAAGACGCCTTTCATCTTCTGGAATTGAGTAGACTGGATAATGAACTTCGTTGTTCTCAACAACAGAATTAACTCCTACATTTGATGCATCTGAAACACTAACAGAAACTTCCTGGTGGTAAACTCTCTTCAGGTCTTCCAGATCAACCTCATAAGGCATATGCCCATGAAAATATGCTATCGTAAGGGGCTGCACCATTCGAAAGAGGCAATTTACATCTCCCAAAATCCAAGCCATTGCGAGTCTTGAGCAATATTCGACTAAATCAAGAACAACTGCGAGTCTTATTTTCAAGTCTTCTACAGAGGAACCCAAGCACAGCCTTAGAGAAATTCTTAAACTAGAGAAGGATTGCAGAATTCCCTGAAAGTAAAATTGCAAAGCATAGGACCACTTTGGTTCAGGTCCAGATGACACCTTGTTTTCCTCAGAGCATGGCACTGAGTGTAAGCAAGTGACACTGCATGCAGCAATGATACGGGATAGAACAAATGATTTCTCTTCGGTCGCTTTTAGAATCAATTTACACAAAGCTGAATATTGGAGGAGATCTTCATCTGTGTGAGACTTGTCTGAAATACTGGAGAGTCCTGAGGTACTATTTTCCTGAAATATATTGTATCCCATGGATAGTAACTCATGGTTGTCTGCTGATAAAATCATCTGCCGATAGAAAACAAAGAAGCAGATTACACATGGCGATCAAAAGTACCTGCGTTGTCAAATTAGCCCAACTGAGAAAACAAATATGATGTGCAAGTATTAGTAGTCAAAACCACATACCATATTACGTAGGCAAGCAGAAGACAATGAGAATCTCTGGTATAATTGCTCCAAAGCTGTTTGTAGCTTATTTTGAAATCCTGAGATTTTCTCACACGAAACAATTTCTGAATTCTTTAAGAGTGCAGTTGCTTCCCGAAATAGCTTCGAGAGGAACTGGACGGCTAAACCCAATCTAAAATGAGTGTCTACAGTAGATGAAACACCGCTTAATACCCAATTAGACGTCTCAGGAACAGAAAGCTCAAGAACACCATGTGGAGTACGCAAATGTCCATTACTTGGACTGCTAGCCTGACGCATGCCACCATGACCGCTGGCAGATGCTGAAAGACATTCTAACGCCTCGAGCTAAACAACCTCAAAAAGAAGATAAATTTAGCACAAACGACCAAACTCAATCTCAGAAACATCAAAGTCTACAAGATATACTCTGCTATAAGTTCTAGTTTATGTTATAACTTACCGGGAGCCCACATCTGCTGAAGGCGGTGGCAGCCATCAAGGTTGCCCATCTACTAAGATTTGAAGCATTTCTTTCCCCCAATGCATTCTTCAAACTATTTTTGGTTGTCAACATGAGACAATATAGGCCAATACTGGGATCCACAAAAGAGATGTGATTGGAAGTCACAGTAGAGCTCCCAGTAACAGGGTTCTCTAGACATCCAGCCATAGCAAGAAATGATTGGTGGTACTCTCCTAATTCCCACTGTATAAAACAGGGACAGCTTCATAGTCATAATGCCAACAAAGAAAGGTAAATTCACAAGATCACGATATTTGCAAAAAATATTATTACCTTAAGAAGGCTTGCCCGCCAAAAGTCTCCTCTCTGAACAGCAGATGGGAGTATATATTTATTTATAAGATTACTTTCCAGGGCCCCACCCTCCCCATCAACAAGGCGACAAATTACGAGCGCAAGCTGCTCATCCTGAAGATTTTTCACACAAACATTTATCGCAGATGAAGGCTCACCTCCAAGGAGAAAGAAACCTATAGCCAGCTCGAGTTGGTGTTTACCCATTAGCACATATGCATTTTTCAAGGCTGCTGCCTTATTTTTCTCTTCCTGTAAAAACAGAAGCATCAAATTAGGAGATATGTAACTCAATATGATTTCCTAAAGGCGTCTTGAAAAAAATATGGTTTGTACCAAATACCTGAAAATTGCGTGAAAGAAAAGCCACCAAGGGTTTATCTTTCTCATCCCTGCTTATTTTGAAAAGACCAGCCAAAACTTGGATTCTATTTAAAGCTATATAGAGAAGCGCACAATCTTTAGGATTCTTGTTCTTCAGGTATTGCTGTCGGGCCAGTTTCTCCATCTACAGAAAGGAAATCACATCAAAATAAGAGATGCACATCTTTTTTACTTTCTGCTAGTTGGTATCAAATGCAAGCATAAATAGGAGTTTTAATACACAGATTCTCACATAGCTAGTTTAAACCAAGCATTGAATTTTCAAAACTTACTCGTGAACGCAACTGTGCTACATTTGAATACCAAAATCCAAAACCCAGTGATCGCATTTGTTGCCATGATGATTCATTGGGTAAAAGAGAAGCAGACAAATTTTCTTGAGACTCTGAGTGAAAAGCCCATCCTATCATACTAGAGTCAATATCCAACTCTTCCATAGATGCTGTTTTGCCAGAACTTCGAGCTAAATACAGCTGCTGAAACCTAAATGTGACCCAAAATCTACACAGCCGGAAGAACACAAAAATCCATGAATACCAAACAGCATAAAGTATCATTTATGGAGCAAAGCAAAAACTGCCCCCAGTACTACAAACCCTCTGATCAATACTTTGCAACTGTAACTTAAGAGGCTGACAAACCAGCTAGATTTTTTTTTCAATGAGGGAGAAATCTGGCCTTGCGGACTATACATGAATGTAATATTTCAGTCATTAAAGTTAACGGAGAAAACAAACATGTGTGATGGAACATATTTCTTTGGTAACTCCTTGTTATTTAATTGGTCATTCGTAAACTAGAATTAAGGAAATTATAAGACTTGTCGTACCTTCTCCCAGCTTCATCAAGACTTGCATAAACAGAAGTAGAATGTGGGTTACTAATTTCACAAAGAAGGTCTACAATTGCAAAATATTGCATCTTTTCTATCCTGCTAATATTTCCGCCATCTGATAACTTCTTCAGCTGCTCGCAGAAGCCACTAAATTCCAAGTCTGTTGCAGGTGAACTGTGACTACTATTGGCACTATAAGAATCCATATTGAAATTTGACTGCAACCCTGCCTGAAACTGTGAATTCTGAAGCATTGAACCAGACGCCCCACCCCATTGGAAAGCCTTAAGATTTGGGCCATTGGAGAGAGACCCTTCATAATATTTTGACAGAAGGATATCCGGATAAAGATCTGACTTTACAGCGTAATCCTTCTCGGAGGCATCACTTGAAGTAATATATTCAGCAAGATGCCTTAAAGCTGCGCTTGCTCGTTTCCAGTTACCTGAATACATCAGAGTTAACAATCTTTAGCTAAGGTGAAACTAACCGCATGAATGCTCCTGCACGAAGGAAAAATAAGAAGGGAAGGCTAAATAAAAGTTAAACAGCTTAGTTTCAGAATTGATTGAGAGGGGGGAAAACAAAAACACTTGCAGCATATCACCTGAACGTATAGCTACAAGGAGGGCTTGAGGGTGATAAAGTGGCAGAGCACCTCCTAACTTATCCACCATATGTAACATGCTCGTAATGTCATTAATAGCATCTGAACCATATGCGGTCCCAGTTAAAGGCATACTACTGGATTGCCAGTCATCAATTGCATTACTTGTTGGAGGCAGAGGAGCACATCCTCTGCTAATAGATGCAGTATTAGCTTCTTTGAGGTCTTTACTACCAGAATCAGATAACAATTTAGAGTCTCTGCCTTCTTCTGTAGCATTCACTAGGTTGGGAAGATTGGCTGCATATATTACTGGATAGTTATCAATCTTTTCCTTTTTATCAATAACAGCAAACCATTGACCATGTAGACTAACATAATCATTATGAACAAGGGCAGTCATGGCTTTGGATCCCCACCATAAATCATGAATAGCAGAAGATGTACGAGTAACAGCGAAGCATTGCCAAATCCGTGCTTCTGAAGAATAATCGGAGACCGCAAAACTGGTACTTCTGCAGGGTTGCCGAGCAATACCATACACCCTCATCTCCTTCCGTGTGCAAACTCCAAACAATAGCTGATCATTTCCCACAGCTGACCATCTTACAGCAACAACCTCTGCATCAACATGTAACTTGTCCTCTAGTATAAAAACCCCTGAATCTATAAGGTGTACAATCTCCCATATACTGACTGTGTGGACAGCTTTTGAATGATTCTCTGTACAGAGGGCTGCTATCTTGTGTCCCGAATCAGTCAGAGATATAGCACTGACAGGATTTTGGCCAATGGTAAGCATGCCAACAAGCTCCCACGGAACAGAAGGTGTTGAACTTTCCTGAAGACTACTTCTCCAAAGTTTTAAAGAGCCATCAGCTTGACCAGTTGCCAAAGTGTAAGCTGGACTTTCAATGTTCATGTCATTCTCTAGAGCCCTGCTGCTTGGATTGACTACAGCAAAACTCGTAACTTCATCGTGACGGTGAGACTTAGGTATTTCTGAAGAGCATGATCTAACAGCAATGCAATTCGTCTTACCAGAAAAAGTATCTTCGAACAACCACTTACCCGATCCAGTACTATCGAAATCATGAAAATGACAGTCACAGGTGCTTCCTGCTGCATTGAAATGATGCAAGCTCACTCTCCATGACAGAGCATCAAACCGTTTCTCTTTCATCCATACACTCAAAAGCAAGAATCTGTTATTTTTGAATGTCTTTCCACAAGAATTAGGAAGAGGTATTGCAAATATGCTGGTTGGACCATTCTCCAAAGGGTGGCTAACTGCAAACGGTATGGTACATATGTAATGGGTTAGAAAGCCATCATAACCCCTCCCACAATTCCTCACACTAAAGCAATCAACGCCTTCTACATGTCCCACTAGTAGAAATCTTTCATCATTCAATGATGAAGGTGCCCAGCATATACTAGTGTATTTCAATCCTAATTCTTGATTTTGAAGCCGTCCACAAGGTTTCCAAGAGGAAAGTGATATAGGATGGTCGATAGCACGGTTCAAATAATCACACAAGGACCAGATTATTATCAAACCATTATAATCCAGAGAAGCATTGTATACCGCCTCACATATGAAAGGATCAAAGGCAACCTGCAGGATTTTCCCACCATGACCATCAAGATCTAATATATTTCCCGTTATGCACTTCAATACATTGGATTTATTTGCAGATGAATCTTCTGAGTCATGTGATTTTATTGTGTGCAAGGAAGACCAATATACGGTATTGCACGGAGATAAATAAATAGACGAGCAGATAAGTGGCGGGCCATAGCGGTTATTTCTCAATACAGAAACTTTCTTAAGGAGTAATTGATCAGAAGAACCTGTAGCATCAGCTAGAGAGGGTAGCACCACACCGATTTCATTTGATTCTTGTCTCGCCCTCAATGTGATCCTCAGAGACCTCATAGGAGAGATGTCATCAAGACAATAGACAGCCCACAAAGAACCCGATTTTCCAGGGCCGTACCCTACCAACCAACCACATTGGCCAACACTTTCATGATCATACTTTTCAACAGAAAAAAACTGATTAGTACCTTTGATGGTTTTCAATATACCCCCTGTGAGAGTTCCCCAAAAAATAAACAAATCTCTGCCCAAATAGCCATCCAAGACCTGATTTATCTCTATCACAGCTGCCACGCAAAACGATTTTTTATGATCACTCACATCTTTCATGCCCTTTTTTGTCTTTCCACCATCCACCTCACTCCATAACCTTACTGCCCCATCCAAGCAACATGTCATTAGCACATTCCTCATTGATTTCCCTATACATATTTCAGACTGTTCTGCAACCACTGGTCTCCACTGAATCATGGATATTCTCTGAGGATGAGGCAATTCAACTTTACGATATGACTCCCCGTCACTATAATAGGCCAGGACACGTTTACCTGCCTCATCACACTCAGCTGGAAACTTGCTCCAAGACGTTGCTGTCGCAAAAGGACCCTCCAATGACCAAGTGGAGGAAACCAGATCTTGAAGATGATCCCCTGTGAACTTCCAAGCTATTTCCCAGGACTGGTTCCTTCTCTTCCACAGAACAATATCAGTTCCACCAACTATTATTCCATCCCCAGATCCTGTCCACTCCATTGCTTCAACTTTTGCTTCTTGCATCAATATGGCTTTCTGACTCCAACAAAAAGAACCTGAATTGTAAAGAGATACAAATTTAAGATATCCAAACTAAACATGGGAGAAGGCAGATACTCATTCTACAATCATTCCACTTGCTATTAACTACACATGATTTGCGTTGCAAACTAAACACGAATTGTTCAAAATGTCGAAAACCTTCAAAAATCTAAACCCCAGAGAATGAAGGACTTACCATTAAGATCGCTAAGATCACGCGAGTAGAGGCAAACACAGTTCCCAGACCCAACCGCGAGCTCGCCTACAGACGGAGTTACAGGAGACCAAGTAACGGCAGTAACTGGAGACGAAACATCGCCGGAAACCTCTATAATCTGACGGAATAACGGTCCGTTTGTAGAGTCTTCGCCGCGTAGAGGGGAAGGTAGATGAGAGATGACAAGGAGAGTAGATGCTCCGTAAGCAAGCCATGAGTAACCGGCGAAGTCTGGAAGCCAGTCAATAGACGATTGAGATCGAGTCGGAGCCGGTGGAACGATCTCCGATCTTAGTAGCCGGAGAGGTAACTGATCGATCGGATCTGTCACCGAGATCGCGTCTTGACTCGTCTCCGGCATTTTTCACGGTTAAAGGAAAACACAAATCTTTACTCTTGACTAATTTTTGAATCAAGTTCATCGAAACCTCTTACTGATTCAGAAGGTTCAAATAAAGGCCTATATACCATTTAGGCCCATATCCAGATTATCGTAATTTTATAATGTAACACTTCGATTAGGTTTAGACTTCAATTCGGAATAAATACCCTAGGAACCAAACTCTGCTATGATTTATCAACATGATGATGAATAGAGGAGTACACTCAGATTCCATCCCTATTGATCTCATTGTCGAGATATTTTCAAGATTGCCTGCAAAATCCATCGTGAGGTTTCGTTGCGTGTCGAAGCTATGGGAATCCATACTTCACCGTCCATATTTCACGGAGTTGTTCTTGACCATGTCCTCGGCTCGTCCACGTATCTTATTAGTCATCGAAAGAGACGGTGGGTGGAACTTCTACTCGTCGCCTCAGTCTCATAATCGGTATGAGAAGTCATCTCTAGTAGTATCCGCCGATTTCCGTATGAAGTTACCTCAAGACGTGCGTCCAAGCTTTCGTAGCCTTACCTCTGGTTTGATCCATATCTCTAATATGCAGACCTCAAAAAAAAGTGAGGATACATTGCATGTGATATGTAACCCTAGCACGAGACAGTTTGGGATCTTGCCTGATCTCAGAATGTACCCGAATAGCTTTTTAGGGTTTGATCCCATTGGCAAGCAATACAAGGTATTGTGCATGGATTATTCATCTGATCTTGAGGAAAGGGAAGATTGTAGAGTTTTGACATTAGGACCTGGAGAAATGAGATGGAGGAATATCCAATGTCACGTTGCCCATAATCCTTGGTGTGAAGGGATATGCATCAATGGGATTTTGTATTACTTAGCTGGAGTCCTTGATATACCGTTTAGTATGATAGTTTGCTTTGATGTTAGGTTTGAGAAATTTAAGTTTATTTACAAAACAGAATTGTTTTGTACTCGGTTTTGTGATGTGTCTATTAAATTGGTAAACTATAAGGGTAAATTAGGTGTGATCAACCGTAGTTCGTATAGTCGCTATTACACTTATCCCATTAAGCTGTATCTTTGGGTTCTAGAGGATGTAGAGAAACAAGAATGGTCGAAATATGTTTACACTTTGCCGAAGAATGAAGTTGATCCCTGCAAGTTTGTAGTTGTTGGAGTAACATCTACAGGTGAAATTGTTTTGTCGAGCTACACATATAAAGTACCCTTTTATGTTTACTACTTCAGTCCTGAAACAAAGATTCTCCACCCTGTTGAAATCCAAGGTGTTGGAGAATACCATGAAGAGGACAACTATAGTGGTAGAGTTCACGTCGCTCTAGACCATGTAGAGGATCTCAAGTTTAATATTACGAAGACAACATATGCTCCAATATCTATAAGCCCACTAAAACCAAAGCGTCGTAGACACACGAGCACATCAACATCTTCTAAAGGAGATCATCACAAGAAACAAGATCATCACCGGAAACAAGATCGTCGTACGTTTGAGAGCATTAACAAGTTTGATGCTTTGCATCTGTTAGATGATGATGATGAATGAGTTTTACAGGTATCAAAACCTTTCCCTTGTTTCCCAAGTCGCCTAAAAGCTAATACAATTTGTATCCTCTCTGTAAACTTTAATAGCTATCAAAGAAAATTTTAAGAAATTCAGTTTTATTCAAAAAAAAATGTTAAATGAAAAATGTAATACGCCAATACGGTATGATTTGGAAGAATATGCTAAAACTCAACAATGTGAATCAGTCAAAACGTAAAAAAAGCAACGTATTAATGTTACTGACCTTTTCGATAAAAATTCAAATCAATCATCGTGTTGCATTCT